GCTTACAGAACATGCTGGCGAGAAAGTAGAAGTCAAGATGTTTATTTGTCTAAAAAAGTTATTTTGGATGCATAACATTAGGAGCTCTTCAGAAGACATTGTGTCTTTTGAAAGTAGACATTGAGGAAAACAGTATATGCATAAATCCCTATGTCTACTTATAAATGAACATCACTGTATACATACCGAGAGCGCGACTAGCAAGTTGAGCTAGGACACAAAAAAGGGAGCAATGGGTTAGGTGCATCGAAGTATGTCTTTCTGTTTATGCAACTTCTAGCTATCCCTGTTTAAACTGTTACAAAATGTTTTCCATCTGCCCTTTTTCTTGAGTTTTGGAGTTCTTTCACTACTAGCGGTGACTAGGGAATTGCTCATGCTTTAGTTTCCGTCTGGATTTTGGTTCAGCTCCATAATTTATCAAAAAGTAGATAGGCTGATATCCGAGTCATGGGGGTATTACACCAAAATTGCATCTAATGTCATAATTGAGCTTCCTTATTTCGAGACGAGTGAATAATAAGAACGAGTTAAATTACGAATAATATAACGGAAAAATCGATATCAGGCGGGAAGGGGAAGGTACCTTAAATATATTGGTATAACATTCCAATACATCTATTATGAGTAATTTAACCCAAAATTTATAAAATCGATAACCATTACCTTGTTACACTGCACAGATTTATTTATACTATACTCGTAAGGGTAGTGTTTCGACCCAAATGATGGCTTCTCACAAAGAACTCGGAGGCAATAAATATGCTTCTTAATATACAACCATTGAATTTATAAGTTATAAATTCAATGATACAACGTTTCCGTACCTATGTTATAATTGCTGAAAGTACTTGCAGCATATTTGTATTGGTAAGTACATAAAAATGATGCAAATACCAGGATTTGCATTGATTGTCACACTCCGTATTTCTAGTAATTTTTATGAAAAATGCACGTTAGGTACACACGGTCTTTGTCAAATTCCAAATGGACCTTATGAGTACTGTATCTGATAAAGATAAGGGCCAAAAAGTAAAATAAAATTAATAGAAACAGGTTTTCTCAAACGAAATGATATCTTGCCTTACAGGGTGGTTCTAATTCGTGGCTCACCATTAGAATTTTCGTAACGAAGGTACATTGTAGCTTAAATGGGGGCAAAGTTATCCCCTTTTGTGACTAAAAAACGCATTTGAATTTGTTTGAAAAACTGAAAATGTTAAATTTCGATTTCATTTTCCAAATGGATCACGATTCCCGTTAGCAGCTTGTCAAAGACAGAAAATGTTTTAGTATTGAAAGATTGAAAAAAAAACTTGTGGTCAGACGCATTTTGCCGCATTGGAGATGCATGGAACCTAACGGAAATTTTTTACCGGCGTTAAATTTGGTTTTATTCCAAGTGGCTATGTATCAAATTTTATTTAAATGCGTCCATCAATAAGAAAGTTGGCACTGCGCATGCGCAAAACCAAATTTTTAAAATTGCGTTAAATTTGCTTTTATTCCAAGTGGCTATGCATCAAATTTCATTTTTAGGCTATCATCACAAAAACGTTGATTTTATGGTCGCTTTTGCGGCCATAAAGTTTCACTTTATTGTACGCTTCTGTCAAACTTTACTTTATTGTACACATCTGTCAAACTGTACTTATTTGAAACTGATGTGTGAGAAACAGTAATCTGTTTGATACAAAGCGTCTATCTGGTCTCGCCCCATCAAGGATTGGGCCATCCACGTGCGTTTTTTTCATTTTCGGACTTGTAGGAATGTTTCACACCATTTTGCATAATCACAATGTTCACATTTAAAATTATAGTTTGACGTTTCAATCTTTGCTGCTTGCAGACCTTTTTGAAGTGTAGAACCAAAACATGAGGAAGATGTTGTTGCTTACATTATTATACGAAGAATCACCAGCAATTAACCGAAAACACAAGTAGCTACCTATACCTACCATCAAAGTAGGTAATCAGGATTCTAATAATTGTACAGCATGTTAACTATAAGGTCTTGGAAGCCACAGTTACGAAGGACCTATTGCATTTGACATTATTAAAATCTTGTGTAGCGGAGGAAGTTGCGATTGTACTTTTACTCTCAAACGCCTGCTCTTATATCATATATGACATAGGGTCGCAACGCTTGCAGCTTCCAAAATTTCATTTTGGGTAGGCATCTGAACTGTCGCTTGTGATACGCACAAAACACACGCAAAGATGCTAATTATAATTTATTACATATGACAGGAAATGCTTTGTTTTTAATTGTCTAAGATAACTATGATTTTCAGAAAAAATATGTTTATGAGCAAATTTTTGAATTCTTTTTTTGATGATCGCCTAAAAAATGTTGTGTGCACCTTGGCCAAAAGTGATTTGTTAGGCCTCATCTGAATTGCGGCCTCGGCTACCGCCTCGGCCACAAACAGCAGCTTCGGCCAAAAAAGATCACTTTTACGGCCTTGGTACACAAATAACTATTAAATACTATGCGATCAAAAATGAGTTGCTGTCGAATCACCTTTGGAATTTTTGTTTACATGGGAAATCGTAATTAACTTGAACTTCCAAAGGCGCCTCGACAGCAACTCATTTTTGATCGACCGTTACTTTCATAAATAAAAAAGTTTGCAATTCGGTTTATAATTGGTCGAGATGCGAAAAGGGCACTGTGACTGATGATCGATATTGAATTTCATGCAATTCGGTTCATAACTAACGGAGATGTCAAAAGGGCTTTCCTTATTTTTTGGGCTACATTGCCATTTCACGAACTCCGGTCTACAAATTCCATCTACTAAATTTTATCGTCATCGGTCCATTCGTTATCGAGATATCGTGCTAACGAACGAACAGAGGGACAGACACCGCAAAATTATATACTCGCCGCTAGGAGCTCGTTAATAAATGCGTGTCGATGGTCTTTCAGGTAATAATATATCTCTTCTGATATCTTCAACAGCAGGAAATGCCTTGTACGGTTGGTCGTGTACTGAAGACATAAATCTTTTCTTCGAAAAGTTATCGAGGGGTTGCTAACCCCTTTTTGGAAAAAAAAATGTAAATTTTACTGAAACTGACGCGGATTCGAGAGCGGTGCTTGTTCGGTCAGAAATGGTGATATTTCAGTGCGAGTCGACTTTTTATTTTTATTATTTATGCGACAAAAGCCGAATTGATAAAATTAGTTCGCATATACAGTGTGTCCCAGATCGCGTGAGATTACATGGGTAACTTTCTTATTATCAAAGGTAGATGATTGGTTAAATGGACAATGTTTTAATGTTTTGCAGTTTTAGATGCTTATTTAAAATGTCGAATAGGTCCGACGTAAATTCAAATAAGTTATAAAGCCCTTATGCCAAACAAATGACGAGAGCGTATTTTCCTCCTAATAGTTAATGCTGTCCCATACTCTTCATGAAACGCTTTTAAATACTTTCGTAAATAGCATTGCGCTTTGTCTACATTAGAAATTTTATAGAATACCTTCATATATAAAACATACCAGCATGCGTTAACAGTAATTTTGAAACCCGTATTAGTTTTAGTTTCATTCAAGGTGCCTACATATGATATTTCGTTTAACTGCTTTCATAAATAAGAAAGTTGGCATTGCGTATGCGCAAAACATTTTGAAAATGTCGTTAATTTTACTTATATTCGTAGTGTTTACATATAAAGTTTCATTTAAATATCTTCATAAATAAAAAAGTTAGCAGTACACATGCGTTGAACCAAATTTTGGACACTGCGCATGCGCACAACCACAAAAATATGGGTATGTACGGAATCCTTGGACCAAGCCCTTTCAAATGAGCCCTATATCGCCCAAATCGGTTCAGTGGTTTAGAAGGAGTACGTGTGACGAACAGACGGATGGACGGACGGACGTCAAAGTGCAGCCAAAAGCGATTTTTCACTTTGAGGAAAATACGCTAAAAAATCTAATTTGGTATTTCCTTGAATGTCTTCTATCATCGAAAGTATAAGAGATATAAAAAAGTTTTATATAAAAATTCAAGATGGCTACTTTTGAGGAACAGTTACCAACTTCCTAAAGTTAAATAGGCGCCATATTTGATTTTTAGATTACTTCATAGATTTTTTAATTATCTTCAACGAGCTATCATAGCATAGAATTGAAAACGGTTATTATATTTTAATCAAGTAGTCTGTGATGATTTAAAAAAAAACAAAACAAAATCTTTGCATTTCAAAACTTCCAGTGTCCATATTCGTCCCCCCCCCCTGGCTTCAAATGTATAATAAAGTAAAATCAGCCTGGTAACAGACAGATAGGGATTCACCTGGAGCTGTTTAATTATGGTTCCCCTACCACGACTACCACGCGGGTGTAACTGTGTTAGGACATTTAATAAAAAAGGACTTCTTACTGTATCCCCAGCGGTTTCTGGAACATATTTCCGGAAGCCTAGCACACTACGATCCTTTAGTCGCCTATTATTACCCCAGATCGTTGAGTGAAAAAACTTTTCACTCAACGCCCAGATATAAACTTCAGGTACCAAATTTTAGAGGTTGAGTGGCGAACGAAAATGCGCCTAGGAAAACAGGACTGGGAATCGAACTCGAGTTCACGAGACCATCACGCCCACGTTTTCATTCTTTTCGCTCGAAAAACTTTTTTATTCCAGAACTCTCGTGACCACGCGCGCCTACGGAAATCGCAACATTTCTCAGTTTTTCCTCCTCTCGGTCTCTCACAACTGGCGTCAAAAAGCAACCTTTGACTTATTATAGTTCCATAATTTCCATGACACTAAATGAATGTACTTACTACATAGATATATAAATACCATATATCTATGACTTACTAGTACACAACGTTTATTGTGACACTTTCGTTAATCACTAACGTGGTGTAGACATGAATCATGGACAACGCATGGTTGTTCCTAATCCTCCTTAAAAACGATTAAAATATTCCTGTATGTTAAACCATATTGTCAATTTGACACTTGTATAATTTGTAGGTATTAACTGCAATTTAAAATGGTAACCGACTACCAAACCTAAGAATAAAATATGGATCGATACGAGCAACTTGCGGTCGTCGGAGAGGGATCCTATGGATTAGTGATGAAGTGTCGGCACAAGGATACTGAGCAGATCGTCGCGATTAAGAAGTTCCTGGAAACCGAAGAGGATGCGACCGTTAGAAAGATGGCGCTTCGTGAGATTCGAATGTTAAAGGTGGGCGAATTGAGGTGTTACGTTTAAAATGAGAACCAATTTCAGAGATTGAAGCACGAGAATCTAGTGACGATGATTGAGGTGTTTCGGTACAGGAAACGGTTTTACTTGGTGTTTGAGTACTTAGAGGGCACGGTGCTGGACGAACTGGAACGGTGCGGAGGACTGGACGAGGAGATGTGCAGGGAGCGGATTTTTCAAGTTACTCGCGCCGTTCAGTTCTGTCATGCGAATAACGTATGTTGTAGCTGTTGGAGTGGCGGGTTTTTGATGGTGTGTTTTAGGTGATACATCGAGACATTAAACCGGAAAACGTGTTGGTATCGTCGCAAGGCGTTGTCAAGTTGTGCGACTTTGGGTTTGCGCGACTGGTGAGTCTAGCGGGCGAACAGTGCACGGAGTACGTGGCGACTCGGTGGTACAGAGCACCCGAGCTATTAGTGAATGAACCAAATTACGGTGCGCCCGTTGATATTTGGTCCATCGGGTGTTTGTTCGCGGAAATGATGACCGGCGATCCGCTTTTTCCTGGCGACAGCGACATTGACCAGCTCTACATTACCATCAAACTGCTAGGTAAGCTCTTCAAAACTCAGCTGGGGAATTACTGGATTGTTTTTAGGAAAACCGTGTTTGAAGCACCTACAACTGATGACCAAAAGCGACCAGTTACGTGGGTTGATTAAAAGTGCCGCACCCGACTCGAGTGGTTTACAAAAGAACTTTGCAGAATGGGAGCAACTAAGCCTAAATTTTTTGGCGTCGTGCTTGCGAATGGACCCCAACACGCGTCCATCTGCAGATGACCTGCTACGACATAAGTATTTTACACACGACAGGTTTGCGAAACAATTTTTGCCGAGGTTGAGGGAAAAGATAATCAAAGAATTCAACGAAAACCCACTTTTGCGCAAAATGAAGGCGGACATTATCAATTCAACGGATAGGAGCGACCGTTGCGAAGAAGCCAAGCTAAGAAAGCAACCACAGTCCGACGTTCCCAAGTGGCGTATTAACTTCTCAGAGGGTAGCATTAAACGGAAATTAAGTTGTGATACGTCTAGTACCTGTGATAATTATAATAACGTAGTTAAATCGGAGACTAATCCATACTATCTAAGGCTATCGAAACAAACTTCTCTGCACACCATGCTGGTGGACAAGGTCAATCGGGAGGGATTAGGCACCCCTAATGTTGATAGAACGATTCGAACCCCGAACTCCGATCTTAGACTGATTGAAAAGCATCTAGAGAACTTATCTAAACTGTCTCAGAAAGCAGCGGGCGATAGACCATTGTCGAACCACAAAGATGGAGCCTCTCACAAATATCCGGCATCCCCTCCTCGTTTCCAATCCCTCCAACCTACACTGTGCGACGTGAACAAGTCACCACTCTTTCACCATCCCCAAAATGTCCTCCACCCAACCATAAACAATATCTGTTTCACTAAGGCCCCGCCGAACAAGTCACCGAACGCTTTAGAATCGATCTCAAATCCTTCAGTTAGGTCGACGTTCAATCAAATCCCGTTCTTAAATCCATCGAAATCGCAACAGTTTGTGAAAAAAACCGACAGAAATCCACAGTGCGATGTGCTCAACTTGGAACCGTTCCACAACAACACGACGCCTGTGTGGATGCACGGATTGAAAAGCAACGCGAGCAAGTACAAAACCAAAAAGGAAGACGAATTCACGTTGCCTAATCTTCCGGGGGGTAAGACCTCTTTCTCAAGGAACTCATTCAAAATTGGTCTTTCAGTTTTAACGCCCATTAAAGTGAAAAAGAAAGGACAGATGAGTCCCGATTCGCTAATCGCCCAAGCGATTACACCGGTAAGTTAATCGGTTACGTGTACTGCGGTTTGCGCCTGTTTGCTTTAGTTGCTTGATGTGAATTGTTAGTCTGCGCACGTTTTGTTGTAAGAAAGTAAGAAGAACAGTGGGCATGTTTAATTCAGATTACTAAAGCGCAAAATCGGTGTTATTTACGGCAAACCCACATGACATTTACGCATCGCAATTATGATCAGCTGCATCTCTTAAAAGGTGTGTCTGTGACAAACAAAAGTCTGACACGGATTAAAGCAAACGAGTACCAAGTTGATTTACCTCTGACTGTGAATCCAAGCGTCTGGTGCCCATGTCTGAGGAGAGGATTTTCATCTTTTTGGCAAATTCAGCATGTAATCATTTGCAGAGGTGGAAATTTTGCATACCTCAACAACCTTAATACCATTTCACACAGTTGCTATATCCTGACAATAGTACATCGTAATTCCTCCTTTTTGTTTGTGTAGGTGAACAATGTGAGTTTGCCATTGTCGATGTTAGTTATGCTTTCTGTTATTCTGTAACATTGTGTACCTATGCTAAGCTACAAGTTACTTGCAGTGTTCCTTTGCTTTGCAGTGAACTGTTTAAGTATTAATATATTGATATTTTTTACAGAACAATTCGACTGAATGTGTAGTGTCGCAATCGCCGACTAATTTCACCAACTTATTTTAGTATTCGTTTCATATAGTTTACTTCACCAACCTAATTGTAGGTAATCATACGCACTTAGATTAGAATTTTTTATACCTATGTGCCCATATAGGTAGTATTTGATTGTGTAGATAGATTAATAGTAACATTATAAATTGTACACGCCCAGTCGATAAGTTTCTCACGGTGTACCTTCATTAAATAAAACCGTGCGCTTTTGAGCTTTCAATCAAAAGACCTGTTTCGTTAATGCTTATAATTTGTACACAATATATGTGGTTGATATCTCTGCTGAACATGGTGTAATAGATCATTATCATGCTGAAAAACCAGAAGATTTGTATTTAATGAAGGTAAGAACGGAATTCTTTGTACTAAACATCATTTATTTTAGGACAGGAGATACAAGAAAGCTAAACGAAAATGTCAACCAGACTATTCCACTGCTTCATACAGGAAAACTTAATTTATATTTTTACAGAGCCTTTGATCGTTTTTTTATTGTATTAATATATTTTATTTGAATAAATTGTCATATTGAATTCGTTTTTGGCATAATTTATCTACTAATTGTCATCTAGTAGTAGCACAAACTCGGCTTGAACAAATTATTCGAACACAGCAGACTTTTGATCAATATGTGAACACTGACCGTCTTGTAGTTACGAACACAGTCTACTAACTTGACATTGAGAAGGTATATATAAATTTGATATTTCGAGTTTTTAAGCAAAAGTACACTAATGAATCATTAAACGCGCTTAGTGCGTGATTATGTCCATTGACTGGGAAGTTTCGTGGTGATTGTCATCAAAATTGCAATCTCGACATTTATGACATGATATTTTATGGTCGTTCATTAGACCCTCCCTCCCGGATTGCTAAGATTGAGAGAGCAACATATACAACGAAGAATCAGGCTTCCTTCAGGGAATAGGTAAATCGAATCATACACATCACACTGATAATAAAGTTCCTCGTGAATACATAACTAAATACTTATCTAATAAAACAATGTAACATATCCGAGTGTCTGGTAGCAATTTCGTGGATGGCGCGGCGGTGGTGGGTGGTCGAAAGTTTTAAAAATTCAAATACAGTTTTATTATTAATGAATCTTGCTTTATTTTATTTATATAAATATACTGAAATGATAAATAATTATGCAAGACGAAATTTGCGGTATATATACTTTCAAAGACGCCATTAATTACACGTAATAGGGAATTGTCGCGCCATTCAGACGCTCGGATAACATGTTATTAGCATATGCATAACTATCTTATATCAAAATAATAATAAAACTGTTTAAGAAAATGTGCCACTAGCTCTTAGACTAGTAGGACGATTGATGTATGCAGAGCATATCGTATTTTTGTTTCAGATGTAAAGGTGTGTTGCCTAACTGTAGAGGTAACTTCCCCATATTTGAGAGACGGAAGCGACTAATATTTTTGTCTCCACTTTTTGTACCTACACTGTGAACCGTTTTGTATTCCAAAGAGCGATGACTTTGACAATCGTCATATCTGTAATTTGCGAGTTTGAGGGAAAAATACATATAATAATTTAGGGCTCTCCAAAACCGGCACTGTACCAAAACTGGCGGAAGTTACCAGATGCTAGTAACTTTAATCTAGGGATTGTTCCACCTGTTTGGAGATATCTGTATATATTTTTATAAAACATGACAGTAGGTACTATGAAGTTAGGTTATAAAAAATTACAGCTATTCAAATTTTATTTGTCAATTTTTTTAAGTTGGCAGTAAATTTGCCCAAAAATGGCGAATGATTGCGGTACTTTCTATATTTAGTGACTTTACTAGAGTACCTACCTACATTATAACTGTCTCGGGTCGAAACGATACGAACATATTGCCGCACTTTTGAATCTCAAATAGCAGTAGGCTTGGACTGGGTCCTACGTTGTGCATATTGACGATTCTTTTGTGTGTTGGGACGTGGGACATAATCGGAAAGGGAATTGAATAAAATTGAGATTTTTGTGCGTAAGAAAAGACAAGAACAAATAAAATCTGTTACGCACACACAAAAAGCCAGGAAAAACCTTCTTTGTTGGACTAAAAAAACCTGGCATAAAGCATACACACACAAATACAAGAAACATCAACTAAAACAACAAATGCAAGAAACCTACACAAATCATTCATCGCAATTCACACAATAGAATTCAGGTATCAAATCAAACGCGGTTAAATCAAAAAGAACAAATCATAAGAAAAATACAAACACGTGGAAAAACGATAAATCAAAGTACGAAACACATCTACGGTTCAATTTAGGCAAAACAACTGGTAAAATTGTAAATTGCATGTACAGAAGAAAAAGCATCAAGATAACGTTGGTCTACTCCAGCCTCGATTACCATAATTTAAGACGAAAAGTACATGTGAGAATGCCAATAGTAGTATGTTAAAGTCTACTATCGCCCAAGCCAAACCCATAATTAGCAAAAGGGTTAATGAGAGGACCCCCTTCTTGTATATGCTAAGCCACAAGATCTGCAGTCTGTACGATCAGATCAGCAAGCAACAGATACAGCAGGTCCACCCTATATGAGCAGTGGTGACTACGCTATGATGCAGCGGTATAGTATCTAGTGAAGATGTTCTTCACTATTAGAATCTGAAGCAAACTGACTTTTTTTGCCACTGCACATCCTTTTATACCTTTACGTTTGGTAGGGAGCACGCCAGTGTCAGCTGAGTATCGTAGATGGCGGCAGTGTTGCTTCGTTCGCTGCACGCTGATGGCAGTTTACATGTTGTAGTGGTGTTGCCATTCGGTACTTACTCCCTGAAATATACTTAAACGACTCATAAGGAGAAACACCAAATTAGAGAACCGCCCTTCTCGTATACACTAAGATAAGAGCTACAGTCCGCAAGAGATGACTATAGCAACATAAATAGCGAATAATCGCACTGCATGTGTACTCCCTCCACGGAATAGTTACATCGCAGCATACAGAACAACTAACACACTGATAATAAAGTTGTATCGTGAATACATAAATAAACATTTAATAAAATAACATAAAGGTATAATCACATGTAGAGTAGACATACTTAATTCTGTAACGGCACTCAAAACAAAACCGTGGTGTACGCCAGCGCCGTTTCAAGTAGGGTTCCGCGGTCTATCCGCCGCCCCGCGCTATAGCTCAGTCCCCAGAGTTCTCGTATCGACTTTGTCGGTGTTTTTAGCGTAACACAACACATGTGCTCGATTTTCCGTCCTCTATCTGTTTCATCGAGATCTCGGCCCCCGGGGCCACCTAAAGACTTCGAGTTTTCGCTAATTGATCGTTGCTATGGTTTATGTTTGTCCGTTACTCATTTATAGTTGTGTTACGCGGAAACACCCACGACTGGGTTTTGAAACATTTTTCTATATGAACGCTTAAATGCGTTCTAGATGTGCAACTATCAAACATTAACTTTATTGACCAAAATCGCTCTAAATTTATGCACCAATTTTCTTGGGAAAAAGATCAAACCCCAATGCTCGATGTCCAAAAAATGATACATGTGTATCGTATCGACTTTAAAGGTAGGCTGTCCGTCTGTCTATGTTAGCGGGTTGCGTGGCACTACCCGCGCAGTAGTTGTTTTGGTTTATGTATTTGTTTATATATTAAATAGAGTTACTGCAGGAGGGGGGACCCAAATATTTTAATGGAACCTAGGCTCGAGCGACCGTTACTGCGAGACTGGACTGCGCCTTGCTTCAATAACAAATATTTTATGCAAAATGTAAATAATAACAAATTGTGACATTGTAGTGTACTTAACCCCGCAGGTTCTACGCTAACTTCACACAGAAATAAAGTCAACTCGGCAACGTTTAAAAGTGGTCACCCGAAAGACTATTCCCTTCAAAACTAGCGTTTTCGATTGGCAAAACTCGTACTGCACGAGAAATTGAAAAAATTCATGTGAAAATTGCTCTCAATGGAACATAAATATTTGTTGTCATTTGTCCATAACCTCATTTAGATTTCGGTAATCGACAAATCTCTATTCTAAAAAATGACTGAAACGATTTCAGTATATTTATGATAGACGATGAGGAATATAAATTTGAAATTCCTGTAAAGGACCAATTTTTGGCGTTCAGTTTAATGAGTAATTGCAACTTTTTGTAAAATAGAAGTTATGGCTAGTTCATAATCTTTGCTATCGCTAGATGACGACAAAAAACTCTCCAACGGAAGAAACAAATTCAAATTGTCGCACGTTTGTTTTGAAAATTTGTTAACTAACAGCTCCACGAGCTCTCGGACCTCGTGCGTCGAAATTTGCACTGAGTGCGTAATTGTTGCATCACATTTTCCAATGGAACACAGAAAATTGCCCTAAAATTACCAATAGAACGTAAAAATTGCACCCGTGCAGCACGAGTTTTGCCAATCGAAAACGCCATAAACGAGATCCCGCTTAAATTTGAAAAGTGGCACGTGATCAAACGTCTAAGGCAGGGCCCACTTAGGTACGTTAGTAGCAGACAACGCTTTGACCTGAAGCACAGTAGAGAAGGAACGTAAAATAAAACACTGAAATTGTGAAAACTTTGTTTAATAATGATCGCGGTTATTAAGATTGTGAAAGCTCGGAAATTTAAGTCAAAATAAATTACATTGCAACAATAAACTTTGAAAATGGTAGTTCACCGAATCAAAATAGAAATAGGCTGGGAAAAAAAGAACTCGCCAATAAAAAACCAGCCATCAAATTAAAATCAAATTGTGTTGTAAAATTAATTGCTTGTAATGATGTGAATGTGTAACAAAATTATAACATCACAAAAAGTAGCAGGTAAACTTAAAGAGGTAACGTAGGTTAAAATAAGTGTTGGGAATTATGGGTCAGATAAGCAGGCACCAAGATTCTAAGAAAGGGTGAAATACACAGGATGTGACTCATCTTTGGTGCAATAAAATCCTTTTGTTAAAAGCAAGATGGAAAAGTACATTGCCTTGTAGGCAAATTTAACTAAAAACAAGATATGTGGAAATTATTGGCCCGTATGAATAAAAATAAGCAAACGCTGATACTTGCAAAATTCAAAGTAAATACTCGTAAGTGCCCCTTTATACTGGTTTGTTTAGCAGCGCTGCACTGCGTCCTGTCCTTCTGCTTAGCGGCGCTGCTAAGTCGCCCAGTGCGAAGGAGCACTTACGAGTATTTACTTTGAATTTTTCAAGTATAAGCATTTGCTTACTTTTATTCATACGGGCCATTGAATCGCCACTCATTGCTCCTGCAAGATAGGTATCCCGCCCCTGGTTTCGAGATTACAGTTGAATGTCGAAGACAATCACGGATTTAGGTGTCGTAACTCAATTTTGACTACAGTTTTTAGCACCCCCGTGACTGCTTCATTCACGGAGAAAAATGTTAGTAACAAACAACAAGTCAGTACATACATCAAACGAATCGGTAATTTCCACATATTAAAATAAAATGATCAAAACTTATATGAATTTTACTTCAGGGACAAGACCAAGTAATCATCAATAAACATAAATTAAGCAAGCATTACACAAAAACGTAAACAATTATAAACACAAGGATAACGCTATTAAACATGTCATTCTGCATTGCGGTTAACCCAAGTAAATTTCAAAAACAAAGATTGAGACACACCATTGAAACAAAACACAAATATGATATAAAGAAATGCAAAAATTACTACCTGCATTAAATAACAACAAACATTTATGGAGCGATGCGTTCACGATCGCCATTCAAGACAAGATGCTCAACGTAACCTCCGACTGTGTTTTCTAGATGGTGCAGGCAGCTTTTCGCCGCCTAGAAATTGCATTGTTGCAAACTCTCAAAAATGTATGTATCGTCGTAAGTTGTATATGTACATAGGGGTACTCTTTGATAGGGGGAACTTCTCACAGTGGTACCTACTTACCGTTTGCTAGTGAATTTTAGTCTTTTTGAACAACTGTTCTTCCACCAAGTTATCCAGGCTTAAAAGGTAAGAAACAGCCGCCATCTTGCTTACATATAGGTAGAAGGGCTGAAGGCAAACGCCGAATTTTAAGTTAAATGTGAAGTTACCGTTTTATTGCAAAATACAGTAGGTAAATAAATTGTCTCTTTTTAAATCGCTAGTAGTAAAAAACCCAAAGTACTGAAATTAACCTTTATTTCAACGAATGGATTTAAGCTAATAACGTATCTGAACCACAGTTCAAAATACAACATTAAAATGAAATGCAAATGCGAGATAGTCGATAGAAAATAAATGCCACAATAATAATAAAATTAATGTAATCGAATAAAAACTTATCACAAAAACAAACTAATTCTAAATTTAGATCTACGCCGATTCTCCGAGTAATTCGATTAGGGACGCGGTTCCGTTCCTCGGACACGCCTGCTTTAACCTTTCCCCTCCCGACAACGGAAACTGTCGATGATACGAAATGAGATCACCTGCAAATCGACAACGGTCAGAAAAACTTCGGCCCACAGTCAAAAATCGCTTACTTAAACTTTTGTGCTCCACGTGGTTCGTTCCGAAAAAGTTGTAATGCTTGCCGGCATTGACTAGATAATGTTTGCATTTATCCGGAGCACGATATGATAATGCATAACCCCAAATTCTTTCCGATAACCTCACCAGAAAGGTTCCATCGGGTTGGTCCGATAGTAGGCTCTCCGCTTCTAGTCGTGTTATAAGACCTACAACATATAGACGTTAATAACTTGGCGCCTGTGCGGGAAGGAATTGGGAATTTTCATGTTTTTAGTGTTTTAAAGTATAGCGCCGTTTCAGGGCGACAGTATTGCCTCTGCCATGTAAATAACAATAGTCGGGTCATAATTGGAAGATTTGAAATATTGGAAAAACAAAGAGAGAAAGAATAAATTGAAGAGGCACAAAAGAAAATGGAAAAAGAAAGACAGAAAATGAAGATGCCGATTAGGAACCAACTAATCAGTACTAAAAGAACATACCATGAAACCAAGGTTCTACATTATTCATAACATCCATGCCCGCTTTTTTCGTAAGCTCACTCTTCCTATACCATTCCAAAACAGCTTGTTTACCGGGAGGAACGCCAGAAACCTCACTGTATGTGTTATCTAACATTGCCGCACTATTCAGCCTATGTTGCTCTCGCGCTTTTCTCGCAATTTCCCGTATTTGTTGCTCCGCTTCTTTTGCTTTCCGTTCTGAAACACACCGGTAAAAATTTCGAAAAAATCAATCCGAACGCGGTTGGCACCTTGTTCTTTCCACAGATGTTCCTGTTTCTTTTCCGCTTCCTCCGCTTCTTTGGCAGTTTCCATACGTTTCTTCTGCATTCGTTGGAAAATCTCACAGGTCCTCTCCTCGGTCAGTCTTTTCTCCCATAAAGCTACTCGTTGCGCCACCTTCTGGGTGTTAAGCGAAATTTCTTGTAAAACGTCTCTAGTATCGAACATGCCCAATTTGCTGTTGTAATAATTAAAAGTAAAGTTATTGTTTCTAGCCGGTTTCGTCATTTTCTCCCTAAGCTCGTCGACCGAACAATATATGTCCACGTCGTCCTCGATTTTCAACTTGGGAGGAGGTATTTCTATTTTCGGTGTTAAGTCTATGTATTCGGACAGTTCGGCCTCCACTTGTTTCCGCAACTCTTCCGCTTCTTTCTCCGCTAAACGTCGCGCTTTCTCTATGGCCTCGTCTTTTAAAATGTCCTCGATGCTCTTGTCGTTTTCGTGCTCGCCCATCACCCAAACCCACGGCTCCCCGTTGGAACCTTGCATGAAGGTCACATTTTTCCTATTGAGCTTGCGATGCTTGATCGGATCGGTCTGTAGTTGGTCGTCCCAAATTTTCCACTTTCTGACTTGCTCCTCGCGCATCTTGCAAAACAGCGTCTGCTTCTGTTCTTCGTCCAGGCCGGCGAGTATCTCGGGATCGACCCACATCTCTTGAAGTATCTGTTGCAGCATCCTGAATTTCTGCAACAATAAAAGTTAAATTAGATTTATGACAATAATGGAATATGAACACTACGACATATATGAATCGAAATCTCCCAATTTAACAAAAACCAAAACTACAGTACGTCGGATCCGGCTAGATGGACCAACATGTAACCACAAAAATTCACGTAAATGACAATGCGATTTTGTAATTTTTCGGAAGTATTGAATCATATTGTGTAACAATGCATTTACATGGAATTGTTTAATGTATTTAAATTGTAACCTATAACGTTCGCATCATAAATAAAGTAGACGATGTATTACTTCCATTTGACAGTATTTATTGATTTAAAGGTATAATTCAGGTAACGTATCGATTTTGATGCGGTACTTAAAATTGGCGCTTTATTTGAGCACAACGTTCCCAAATTTTGTCATAAGGCAAATAAAGAAGGTAAGTTAATGCAACGAGTTAATATCCTCACAAGCAACTGCAAGTACCTTACTGGAAGTCAACGAGTCAGTAATTAAAATCAACAAGCAGTGGAGGTAACATTTTCTAATCCATACATCGTGAAACATCCCTTTATTTTCGCTGGGGGTGTAACGGTGGCCCGTTCACGGATATTTTATTTGGTCCGAAGTTTACTTACATTTTTTCGCCTTTATATGCGCAAGTTGTCCTTTAGTACGGACCTGCCTATGTAAATGCGTGCGAAATCTGGGAGCGCCAGTGACTCGTGGAAGATGAGTGTGGTTGCTTCAGATTGCAGGAGAATTTTGTTAATTTTTCCGTCATAATCGAGTCTTCTACGTAACGTGAAATTAACTGATACGGCAGAGTTTGGAAAATAGCGAACGTACGCATTCAGCTGGTGGAAGGCGACCAGGAAGTACTGCAACTTGCGTTTCCGATCTTGTATTAAAAGAAAATTCCGACCCAACTCTGGGTAAAGGCTATAGGAAAATATCCCTTTCGCTTGAAATCTCAAATGGCACCACTGACAAATATCCTCAACAACTAACCAAAATCTACAAAATTGGGTCATTGGAATCCTTTCTAAAATTACTATCTTAATACCGATCTGACCTTTGAATTTGGCGTTAGGTAACTGTCTACCCGATGCATCCGAATAGACAAATCGTATCGCACAGGTCACAAATTAACTTTCTCCCATTGCAAAAATTCAATTCAAGTCTACGGATAACATCGAAAGAAGCTAATTATAATTACAAATCCATTATGCATTAGAAGTAGTCACTTTACGCGAAACTGCAACTTTCCAATACTTTTCAGCGTGTAATCATAATTATATTGGAAACAATAAAAATAATCCAAAAAATGATGTCAGCCGTTCAATAGAAAATGATGCCTTCCAGAAGTTGTGCTGGAAATAATCATACACTTTGAAGTAAACCAACCTCGCCAATTCTATACAAATTTCAAAGTGCGTTCGACTATTAAGGTCAACGAAATTCGTCGATCTAGTTGAATGTTTACTTTACACTTGACTGGGAAATATTTTATTTACCGTTTGTGTAAATTTGTCAATCGAGTGCTTAGGTAAGCTACCCAAAATGTTATTTTAATTACCTACTTTACGTAATAGGTACGTTTGAAGTTGCACACTATCCGCGTTTTTCTCCGTAGGACGGATTCTTGCTGTCGGAAGTTGGCACATCGTTATCAAAGATTGCGGAATTTGTATGTAGCTACACCCGCTAAATTACTTCAAATAATCACAATTAAAGATATGAGGTTGAGACGTTCCAACTTCTCACGGAAGTTTTTAAAAATTCAATTTTTGATGTTAGTTTCACCTAAAATGAATACAGTATACATACCTGTGATACTGAACTGAAATATACAGGGTCGCCCACCAAGTTGTGGAGAATGATAAGTGATATTTTTTTTAATGGAACGCCCTATACTCGTATATTATTAAGGATTCTTAGATCCTTTATAGTTTTGTATTGTCGTCCGTCCGTCCGTGTGCGTTCTAACTCTTTTTAAAAGTGGCCGATTGGGTTGAAATTTGGTGTACGGGTACTTTAGACATTAAGGACGGGCGCTATTGATTTTCAGGAAACTGGTTCAACAGGAACAAAAGTTATAGGACTTCTAGTGAATCGGGAACAGGAAAAACTACGAGCTCAATATAATAGTAGAAATCAACCTCGAAATCAACATATTTCATTCCCTAGGTCATGTATAGAGTTCGAACTTTATCTAGATTATTCCCTATGATCCTTACGGCCGGTTGCAGGAAAGCGAATTATAATCAAAATCCTAGATTATTTGCCAAATCTGAGTTTAAACAAAAATTTTGACATTTGATTGGCTGCCTACTGCAATATAAAGCCAATCAAATGTCTTAATACCGGATTAAACAATAATCCTGGATTATTTTTTTTGTGCAACTGGCCGTTAGATGTATAACAATTCAATATAACTCTTCTCTGTGGACTAGGTCAAAAGTTTGAAAGCAAAATGTACCCAAAATTATTTTTTACACATGAATTTGGAGTTTTAAAAGCTTTCAAACGCATTATCTTGATGAAGAGTACACCACGTGTACATATGATAACCGAATGTGTGTGATTCAAAGATGTTAAATTATTTTTCTGAGGTCACATGGATTTTGATCAACATATGTCAAAATCCTTATTTATGCACCAAGATCGTTGGGAAAAAGACTAGGAGCACTATCTCAATGCCCAAGAAGTGAATTTGATGCATTTTTGGCGACACACTATAAATAAAAATAACATCAAAAACCAAGAAAACTTGAATTCGTGAAATAAATCGGGAAATGGAGTTGGTATCAAGAGGAAAAAGTTGCACGAAACATTTGGGACAATAAACTTAGAATTGAAATACAATAGAATGGCTTGTAATTTTTCAGAATAAAGCTTATTTCTTAACCGATTTTTCTCTTAAAATTGGAATCCTCAGTTTTTTAAAAGTTGTATTTTGAACTGCTCGTAAGTTTTTGTGGAAAAATCATGTGCATAAAGGGGTGTCCAAAGAACCACCTGTGTGTTGTCGAGACGTTCCACCCTCTCCCGACACTTCGTTTTCTAGATATTCGTTTCGAGCTCATCAATAGATATTCCTCTCATCCAGGCGATTAATTTTACCTTTGCGAGTACCCTCCTCCGACACCCCGCTCTTGTGATGTGAGTAATTAGCCCCCCCCCCACGTACACAATTTTATAAAGGACAAGAGAGAAGGACTGGGCGGTAGATGGTAAAACAGTGCCTTCTGGCCTTCTGTTGAGAGCTTAATTAGAATACTATGAATGATAAAACCAATTTCTAACACCCCCCCCCCCCACCACTGAGAGTACCATGAACGTGTTAATGATTTTCTTTTGTTTTGTTTCTTCGTCCGGGCCGACTTCTGCGTTTTTGAACTCCTTTTACGGAAATTCTCCCAGAATCCTGAAATTGTTTGTAATTGGTGGCAGAGTTGGGTACTGCTCGCAAGCGTTCCGCTTGAAAAAGCGCTCCAAGTGGAAAAAGCGCTTGCGAGCACTTTTCGGAGCGGCCGCTTGGTGCTCGATACTCGAGCGTTTTAAAGTGCTCCGCGCTCGAGTGATTTTTTCTGCCCGCGAGCGGTTTTTCCGCCCATGAGTATTTTTTCCACTCCTGAGAGGTTTTTTATCGCTCGCTCGCGCTTTTAACCGCCCTCAAGCGCTGGAGGATTAAGCGCCGCTCGCGAGCGTTCGGTTTATCCGCTCTTGAGCGTTTTTTCCGCTCACGAGCGCTTTTCCCAAGCGCTCGCGATAAACCGCTCGAGCACTTTTCGGAGTGCTCGAAACTCGCAAGCGGTTTCGCTTTGCAAAATAGCTCGACGCTCGCGAGCATTTTTGAGACAATTAGAGCGGCTCGAGCGGTTCTTTAGAACGCTCGACCCAGCTCTGATTGGAGGTGCCAAGCGTAACAAAGCACCCGGTTTCGTACAGGAATTAACCCAGTTTTAATGAACGCACCGTACTTTGATGGAAGCAACCAGCTTTAGTGAACACCCGGTACTTCGACGAACTCATATGGGCGTTTCCTTACGATTTCTTTTATTGAGTTGGAAATAGAGGTTAACAGCAATTGCTTTAATTTGTACGTTGTAGCCGCCGATAAGAAAACCAAGATACTGCTAAGTAATTTTCCGTTTGTAGCCGTTCCCGTAAAGATATTTTAATTATTCTTCAGGATCCGAAAGCTGTCTTCGATTGAAGATGAGGGAAAATTAATATTGTATGAATTTAGCTCCGTTAATTAATAATTGGCGGATTTTGCTCAATGGTATTTTAAAACCAGGATAGAAACCGGCAAGGTCGCTCACGTACACGTAGATAACCATGATAAAGTTAACCTGCCACTTGATCCCAAAATCGCGATCGGTGTTAACTGAACTACCGAATTTGGAAATTACAGCCCGGCCATTTGATTGAGTATAAATAGCGGTAGCTAATCAGATGTGTTGCTGCTCATCTGATTAGATTGTGTATAGTGTCAAATGAAGCATGGGCACAGGTCCCAGATTTTAAGATAATTTTTTATTACGAATACGACGACACAAAAAAACATCACGTTCCTGGAGCGCCGTGAAGACCAAATGGCAACCTATTAAAATGGAAAAGACCCCTATTCGGAACAATAAATGAAGTGAACAGTTGCGAATAAGTAGCCATCGGAATTTGCAAATATGCAGATTTACTATCTAAAAATTGGGCGTCTCGCAATTTATCTGGTATGTCCGTGACGTAAGGAAGAGGATAGGCATCTCGCTCAGTTACTGCATTTACCTTTCTGAAGTCTACGCAGAATCGGTAGGAATTATGTGCTTTTTTAACCAAATCTATTGGTGTAGCCAACGGTGATGTGTTCTTCATCAATCTGCTTCTGGACTACTGGGGACACTGGGTAATACATTTGTCGTATCGGTTCTGCAGAACTTTTTATTTTGTGTTCACAAAAATGCATGCATCCTACATCCTGTTTCGCGTGAAAGAAACTGGACTCAATTAAGGAGTCAAGATCCCTAATTTGCTCAGGATGATCGAGATGAATCTCGGATTCCGCTACAAATCGCCATTCTTTATCTCGCAGATTTGGAATGATCCACATTTTCCTGCAAAAATAAACCCCGATTTTTTCAATAATCTGTGATGCCATGGAATTTTACAGTACAAAAACTACGCCAATATCCGTCATGCCATGGAATGTCCGCTATAAAACAATGATTGAAGCGTGCGTCATCACCGCTTGTTCCTATTAATATCAAAACTACCTTCTTTGTATGGAGTTGTATACGAAAATGACGTTCTGCGCTGTCACAGTGACGTGCGTCTATTCGTATTTCGTATCTTGTATCAAATCAGCATATGCTATGAGCGGCACATTGCCAATTTAGCTGAAGCGGCACGCTTCAATCTTTGTTGCTCACTCTGTATTTAGAACAGCGAATTCAACATAAAAAAAGACCAAATTACTAAAAACGGTTTCCTAATATAACAATTTACAATAAATGTTCGAATAAGTCACCATTAACTGCAAGACAGTAACCAAGTCGATCATAATAGTATATTATATATATACCGCGGGACTGAAGTAGTACTTTTAATCCCGAAGGTAAAGTTTATGGCCCGACCGAAGGGAGGGCCATAATTTACCTGAGGGATTAAGACCACTACTTCAGTCGCAAGGTATATACGATATTTTTCGTACTTCCGAAACCGAAACACTTAATATGTATGGAGTTAGAGAACGCGTTCTTTCAAAAAATCGCTAGGAACGTTGCGTTAGTATGACAATCCCTATGCTATGGTAACAAAAATAATTTGGAAACTGTCATTGCTAGTGTCATAATTTTGGTGGTGGGTGACAAAGGTGTATTTGATATTGATAAAAAGCAGCCAAAGTAGGTATAGAATTGATACCACCGAAATCCAAAAAACTATATGAGCAGTAGTACGATGCGTTTAAGAAGTAGTGCCGCATACAAAATGTGGAACAACCGACTGAAATTGCCTTGTTAGTAATTTCATCCTTCCGGGATTTTCGTCTAAATTTAATCCCGGCGGGACAAACAGTGACACTTCAGTACTTGTCATAATGGAGTGAAGTTCTTACTTTAGTCCCGGAAGTACGAAAAATCCATTTCCAACTGCTGCTAATTGATAACTGGATATCTTTTTGTTTAGAAAATTCCATGCCATCGCAGATTATTCAAAAAGATGCGGGTTTTATTTTTCCAATTTTCCGTCTTTATATGAAAAAAATTGAAAACTAATACGGTTGATTGGTGTAAAAAAATGTTTTCTATAAAAAACTTTAATACCTACATTTTTGCTCTAAAATAATTTGGGGAGCCAATAATCGCATGATACGAAATTTACATTGAAATCCCTATAATGCGTTACGCAAGTCGCCACCCTGTATACTGTATTGAGTAGCATTTTTTATTACGAATATGACGCTGTATAGCACACACAAAAAACAAAAATTGAAAACTACTTTTGGTTTCAACAGGATGGTGCACTCGCGCACAATGCCGTAATCCTGCGAGTTTACCTATGTAGGGACAACGTTTCCATTTTCCGGGAAATTGTACTGGTACTATTGTGTAGTTCCGCCCATAGTAATCAACAGTACAAGAAAAACATGAATTTAGGCACCTAGTGTACATAGGTACTTTCTTTGTATTGAAATTTCGAGTAGTTTAAAATTCAACAGCAATGTTACGTAAATGTCTAAAAAATCTGGTAAATGTGATAAAATTTCCTAAACCCAAACAGATGATAAATTTGTTTAGTAAAATTGACGTTAGACCGCAAGTTTTGACGACTACATAGGTAATTTGGAAAGGGATCTGAAGTGACCTTATTGCGGTCTTTTTTAAACGATTGCACTATTGAAGGTGACAGTTTGACGTGAATCGTGACAAATCGAACACATTGAGGTGCCGACCGGAAGACGGCGAGCTGGATCGAAATCTTGGAAAAGTGACTTAGGTACATACATTATATTCCAAAAAACCCAAGCTTTCACGCAAAAACAGATTGACGAACGAACATTTTTTTACATGACTCTCTGATGTGGCAGCGAAAACAGAATCTTAAACAGTTGGTGCTTTGTATGGCCTGGGCACATCCAGCGCCATCTGGGATATAAAAATACATGGTACCTATTCCTATGTATGGTGACAGCATTCTAAAAAATTAATTCGCTAATAATATATTTAATTCGGTCGCCACGCGAACATGTCGGGAAAGCATCTGTGTGATGACCAAATGGTAGGCACGAGCAATTCTAATTCCATTCCGTGATGTATCTCTAATGTAATGGATGCATGCCCTACTAACCATCATACACCTATTTCTGCTGTACCCATTTGTCATATGAAGAAATATTGCACAATTTCGGTTATAGTGAAAAACGATGTTTTTTGGTGGAAACTACCGCAAATTCGCGAAGAATCGACGATTTAACGGTACGAAAGCACTAAAACGAAATCATAATCGCGTAACGTGCTCGTCTAATGTATTACTCTAAAATTGCACTGCAATTATACCTACTTACCGATTATAAAATCACCGCTTGGATAGTAGAGGTCATCAATGCCCAGCGACCACACGTCATTTGCCTCACTCACTTGTCACTACAACATTGACAATTGGCACGTCCCGCTAACCTGCAACAAAAGAAACAGTAATTAATGTTGTATAATTAAGGCCATTACTCATACTCCTAAGAATGCGCGTCATTTTTTCGGGTTAAACACGTTTTTACGCTAAACTTATTGACAAATTAGGTATTTTCTTCGGCGCGAAAAGAGCGGCCGAAATAATCAACGAAGAATGTGGGTTAAACGAAATTGAAAATCTACCATATGGATAATTTACAATAATTCCTTTCTCATCGGTTAACCGTTTAAATAAATGCAAACGAATCAATGGAATGATTAATAGCTACTTTGACCGTTATTATTTGTTAACCTCAATAATTCATATCCGTAATGGGTTAAATTAACGTCATTAATAGTATATCGAGTAAATAACGCAGTATACTTTCTTTAAATATGTGGTACTATTAAATTAACGTTTGTAAATAACGCAATTGCATTAGTACTCATTCATTCGTACATAGTCTGCAACGGTGGGGATTCAAAAGACGCAAAAAATACATTGAGCAATCCAATTTCAACAAAAATGATTGCGAGAAATTGCCAATATTCTGCACACGATAAAGATACAAAATGCCATGCGATGCGGTGAAGTGCACAAAGTATTTGTTGGCATATGTTCTAATACAATCATATATTGGCCATGGTCAAAACGATGATATCATTCTTTTATATTATAGACGTACCAGAGGGCGTACCCATGTTCTTTACCTTCAAATCCAGACCTTATTCTGGAATTGTTACCAAAATTAACGATACCGGTTTATAGAATGATCGGTCGTAACCCTGCAGTGCACGACTATTCCCTCAACTTCGCTCCAACTGTTTCTACTATCTCGTTCCCTCACAATATATTAATCTCAGAAACTCTCAACAATGTTTGATCAGTGGTTTTTAATTTTCCTTTATTGGTACGCACGAAAAATTTTCAAGTTTCTCATATATTAAGCGAATAAGCGCGTCTGTCATTTTTTCGCTATAACTTTCGGGTAAATTACCTAAAATAGTTAAATTACCACATTTGTGTATCCACGGCACGAGCTTATAAATTAAGATAGACTGCTAATGCTGAATGTACAAATGACACCTACCTGGGGGCAGTCATGATGTGCACTCACTTGGCGCGAAATTCAAATCAACTAATAAACAAGCATTAACCTCACGTTTTCTAAATAAATTACTGTGACACATGCCATTTTCCAAGGTTGAAATAGTCTCAAAATAAATAAATAAATAATACTACACTTAGAACTTCTCACTTTGAGAAACTAGGTGACCTATATCAACTTCCGAAAATATCAAACTTTGATTAACACCTGAAGTAAATCTTGGGCACATTACGAAAAATAAATCGAATAAACACAATTAATCGATTGACAATAACAAAAATTGATTCCAAAAAATTCCCTGAAAGAAAATCAAGCTTGTTTGGACATATGACTCCGCACGCAAGTGGCCAACAATTAAAAACAACAAAAAAAGAAAATCTTAAATTCGATTTTTGAAATAATCTGGCCGTAAAAAGTTTGCGATATTTAAGTGCACTTATCAAAGACACAAAAACACTTCACTTGTTCTTTTTATTAAAGGGGATCTTGATAAATAAGATGCGAAATGTTCGGTGACAGTTCGGACGGTAAAAACTTTTAATGAACCCCAAGTTCGTCACATACATTTTGGCGCCCGAGCAGAGACCTTTTGTATGTTCACACTCGAACTAACTTTTTCTCTTTTACTCCTTCACTTGACAATAACTTAAATCTTTTATTAAGATTGCTTAATTTCTTCTGCACACATCTTCTTTATACAGGGTGATTCAAAATTGAGTGCAAAGATTTTAGGGCGTATGTACCAGCCAAAAATAAAAATTTTTTTTCACATAATCGTATGTTTTCGTTTTCTAGATACAGGGTGTAAAAGTTTTTTTAAAAAAAATCGGTTTTTTATCAATTATTCAAAAACCTTTCACCCAATTTAAATAAAATTTGGTAGTGTTATTTGTCGTAAGGGCATTCCTTTGGTGGGAATAAAATAAATAAAAACCGACTTTTTAACAAACTTGTACACCCCGTATCTTGAAAACGAAGCAAGCTAGGACATACGATTATATGAAAACAATTTCTTATTTTACGCCCTTAAAATCTTTGAACTCAATCTTGAATCACTTCGTATATAAAGTTCTTCTGTACATGTGTTAGCTCGTGTGTTATTGACTAAACGGCTGGACGGATTTTGATGATATTTTTGTGTCTCCGGATAGATTAGATGTTGGCCCGGTTATAGTATCGTTGGTCTTCGGATATCGTCTAGTTTATGCTAAAAATGACGAACTGTGTCTTCAACAAAGCGTTTCAACCGTAGCGCCTCGTTTTCTTGGTGTCTCCACTATTTAAGGTTCCACTTCCACTATAAAATAAACTCAAATATCACCGCTGATAATAAAGCCCGCTTCGAAGGAACGTGTCCCCACACCCAACATACCAACTTTATTTACATTTAATAAATTAAAATATTGTCATATACAGGGTGTCCCGTCTAAAAATGTTGTTTACACAACAATGCTCATATGAAGTGAGAGGACTAAACATTTTACTCCGATAGCAAATCTTTTGAATTCAATGTGCCAAAACTCGTTTCCATAGTCCTCTGGAAACGCCAATTTCACAACAGAACCGAAAAAATGTAACTTATTCAACATTTTAATGTATCATAAATGTCTTCCACTTAAAATTAGGTGGCTAACTTGTTCTTCCATCTGCCTGTATGTCCTACAGCTAGACTATTAGCACAATCATTTGAGGTGTCCCAACGAAATTTGTACCCACCCTCCGCAAAATTAAATGTTCTGGCAAAAAAACCAAAAACCGGTCGATTTTTGTCTCGAGGGAATACAAACGTACGAGTATTTCGTAAGGTACATTATACTGCATCCTGACATAAAATAATAGTTTTTCACCTCCAGGATAGCGAGTAGCGACTGTGCGCTAGTTTGGATTTTTTTTAATAAAGAGGGGGTGGTGTGATAGCATTTTCTCCGCGGTTCGCTTTTGAGATCCAAGTCTCGCTTCGTCTAAATGTGTTGCTTTTTAAATTAAAAATGTAAGAAAAAAGCAATTAAGAAAATACCTACCTTGAAGACGTCGCTTGGTATTTTTCATACTAAAAATTAAAGTGTGAAACTTTTCACATATTACTGTGCGCTGTGTCGCAAAAAAATCAAAAATTAGTACAGGTATGGCGTGACCATAAATTTAGTTTTGGGCCCGGCACTTACCTACCACGCGTTTATACTTTACTTTTTTAACGCGCCGGATGCCAATTTGGGTTAACGACCATCTAACGATATTTGGCGATTGTATTCAGAGGTTAAAAAAACCAAGAATAGGAAGCATAACTACAGACCTTATTTTAGTTCACAATCTAATACATTTACAAACTGACAATAGAGGGCATAGCAAGCAGCTAATTTAGAATAGAATAGAAAGATTCAAAATTTCAAATACAAGAATCGGGTGCTCTTGCTGTTTCAATTTAGCCAATTAATACCCCCTGGCCCCCAGTGATTTAACGGGGACATTATTTGTACAGGTACCATTTTTGGGACACAATGCGAACGGCCCGACTTTGGGTATCATAATAATTGAATGGGTTCTGGCAATCGTAACGTACTCAATTAACAGAACCGATCCCTGGAAATTAATCTCGATTAATGGCAATTGATACGCCCTCCTCAAAGTGAGTCATATCGAATTAACTTGTCTTGTTCATCGCGATGAAATTGATAGACGCGCAACCTTGAAAAGACAACATTTTAAAATTTCGCACGAAAGGTCGTTCACATTCAAATTTTCTTTCGAAGGCGCACATATTAAGTAACTCTTGACCTTTCCTCTTACTCCCACATCAAACCAATACTCGTCATCGATTAAATTAAAATTATGGATACAATCCGTGACGTGCAGCACTTTTTTTTGTTAATTCCGATTGAACAGCTTTCACCACAGCTGCCGCTTCTGATGGTTTGTACTAATGACGGCTATTTAAAAGATGTAACACGATGCTAACGATCACTTAAATGTAAATTCTTTCATTTACATCCGCATCCGCAACATATCCTAGTTGTAGAACGGAAACCTGGAACACAAAGCCATGGCGTCCCCAGATTCTGGATCTTTTACAAAAATATTAGTTTTGGTATATTTTGAACAAAAATTGTGGTAAAAAATATATAGATCACAACCAGTTTGATCTGTTTTTGGTGGGGAAAGCGTTTGGCATGATTTGAGCGATATCAAAATCAATTTGTTGACAGATAAAGTCAATTCCCTTTCTATTACTTGTGTAACGAATATTTTAAAGCGACATCGGGGCGCCATCAAGTCGATACAGGATAGTCACGGGCGCTAAGGAATGGAGGCAGATGTAACGCATTCTTTTGGATGTATTTATTCGAGAATTCAAAAAATTAATAATATTAATTGATCTCATCTCAGAATTTACACCCATTTTCTTATTTTCAGTCACTAAGAACGTATTTTGTCACGGCCTTGTCTCGAAGTTGCGCTCCCAGTCTCTTTTAGTTAAAACAGTCGAGAAAACTATTGCAACGAATTTTCTAGAACGAAATCAAGGCGCCATCAAGTCGATAAAGGATTAGTTACCGGCGGCGATAAGAAACAAGTGCCGATGACTCATTCGTTCTCTGAAATATGCCAACTATCTAAAATTTGCTAAGCGCTTTTTGTTTGCTATACACTGTGTCTAAGATAAGTAAATGAGAAATTCTGATTACTTACGAAGATTTGACAGAAACGCCCAAATTTACCGATTTTGTTTATATTTTTTTCTGAGGTTCTTTCTAATTACCACTATTTGAGCTCTACAACACAGCGTTGACAGAGTTTCAAGACAACGTTTCGTTCCGCAGCAGTCATCAGCAACTTTATTTTTTATATGGTCCGTAAAAAAATACACGCTATATTGAGTAACAAATTTTATAAGAATACAAC